ATCCATCCATCCGCTCAACCATCCATCCATCACTTCATCCATCCATCTGACACTTCATCCATCCATCCGCTCATCCATCCATCACTTCATCCATCCATCTGACACTTCATCCATCCATCTGACACTTCATCCATCCATCCGCTCATCCATCCATCACTTCATCCATCCGCTCATCCATCCACCCGTTCATCCATCCGACACTTCATCCATCCACCACTTCATCCATCCATCACTTCATCCATCCGCTCATCCATCCACCACTTCATCCGCTCATCCATCCACCACTTCATCCATCCGCTCATCCATCCATCCCTAACTGTTCCTGTCCTCCGTTGCCAGGGTAACCACTCTCGTCGTCTACCTGCTGTCCTTCGTGGGGATGCTGGTCTTCACCTTCACCTTGGACCTGAAGAACATCTACCTGGTCTTCTTCACAGCTGGAGTCCTCGGGTATGAAGGGGCGGTTCCTCTGACCTCTGACCTTTCAGGTCCAACAACCAGACTGGAAACAGGAAGTTGTTTCAGGTGTAAACACGCCTGCTGATGGCATGACGGAAACACCGTCAGATGTTTACATGACAACAGAAACAAATGATGATGTCATAGTGACATCACAATGAAGGGCATCCCAGAACTCCAGATGTTTGCAGCTTTTAAAGGGCCAGCGTCCCATAAAATCAACTTTTTATCTTACAGTGCTGCTTGACTTGAGAAATCCTTTCATCTCCATGGCAACCATTCAGTTGTCCAAAATGCCTGGGTGGACCTAGCCCCGCCTTCGAGGTGCAGCTCCTCCCCCACTCAGCTCCTTCAGACTAGCCAGCAGCAATTAGCAAACACAATTATAGGAGCTGCTGCTCAGAGCCAAGCTGGTAAAAACGTTAAAGGGTTAAAAGAGGAGCCAGGTTGGGATGACTTCCTGGAGTTTTTAAAGAGACAGAGGCCCAATTTCAAGCCGTTAAATCAGGAAGTAATATTTATATAACTGAAGGAAACATTGTTTCTCATTGAGCTATAAAAAGAATCATGGATCTGAGCAGTGAAGATGACTTTCTTCTTCTTCTCCTGTCAGATTCTTCATGACCGGCTACCTTCCTCTGGGCTTCGAGTTCGGCGTGGAGATCACCTACCCCGAGTCTGAGGGGACATCGTCAGGGCTGCTCAACGCCTTCGCTCAGGTACCATGAAGACAGGACTCTGTCCTCCGATCCGTCTCTGACTCTGGATGCTTCAAATGTTTTCCAGTTTCACTGCTAAATATTCATTAGAATTATTGGTCTTGCATTATTACCATTATATTACTCGAAAATGGTCTAAAAACAGCAGCATTATCGTTTATCGCGATAACTTTCTGGATGATTTATCGTCCAGAGACATTTATCGTCTCGTTGCTCCTGCAGATCTTCGGCATCATCTTCACTCTGATTCAGGGCCGGCTGACCACGGCCTTCGGTCCGCTGGCCGGGAACGTCTTCCTGTCCGCCTGGATCCTGCTGGGTGTGGTTCTGACCGGTAGGCCAGGTCCATCACTGATGATGTCATCAGAGGCCGCGGTGCTCTGACATGTTGTTTTTGTTTTCAGCTCTTATAAAGTCAGATCTGAAACGACACAACGTCAACATGGCGACGGAGAGCAAAGCCCTGCAGGCGGTGAGTGTTTCCTCCCGACGCGTCATAGCAGCGGCCATGTTGGGAGGGGCGGGTTCACCTGAAAAGCTCAGCTGCTGTTAGAAGAAACAAGTTTCATTTTATGCAGCAATATATTTATTCAGAAGATTAACATGATCCCAAACATGAACCACAGTTTGGTTAAAAAACTTTGCTGAGTTCACATAAAAGACAGCAAAATAGATTTTATTGAAATAAAAATTAAACTTTATATTTTTATCGTGCGTTTGAAAAACATTTCTGTTTCTACAATGTTGAAACTTCAGCTTCAGAACTGAAACTGTGGATTTCTGGCTCATTAGCATTAGCTAACATATTAGCTTGCTGTACTTCCTGCCGAGCCCTCAGTGCGAGGACCTCTAAAGCGTTGCCTCCTCATGTCTGTCCAGTAAATCTTTTCTCTGAATGCGGTGAAAAGCGTCTGGCTCTGTAAATCTGGACGTGAACTTTAACTGTCCAGCCTGTTGCTGGGACGGACGGCGTCCCCCAGACAGACCGTCCTCTGCTGACCAATCAGCTGCTGCCTGCTGCTTCTTCCCACCATAATTCCCTTGTGTCTAAGAGGATTCATTAAAGGGCCGGTATCATGTGATCTCCAGCCACAAAATGCCATTTCATAGCACAGTCAGTAACTGTGTTACCTTTAGTTACCGTATATGTCCAATTTGACCTAAAAGATGCTTTACTTCCTGAATTAAAGCCTCGAAATTGGGTTGATTCTAGATGATGCCGTTTGGTCTGCCGCCATCTGGTGGCGGCGCTGAGAACTGCAGGAACCAGAACCTCCAGATTAATCCTGTCCTTCCTTCCGCAGCGTCCCGCCGATCACCATGGCGACCGTCCAGCAGGACATCAAGCCAACGGCGTCCAGCTGGAGCCTTCGCTCGGCGTCTCCAGGGAAACGTCTCTGTGAGAACCAGAACCAAGCCCAGTCGGCTCCAGAACCCGGTCGGGTCCAAGTTGTTACTTAGATTCAGAAATCGTAACAGCAACGCTCCGTCTGGAGTTTCAGAACCCAAACCAGATCTCCTGCTGCTTCTTGGACCGGATCCAGGAGGGAGCTGCTCCTGGTCCAACCAGAACCATGATGATTGGACCAGAACCAGAACCTGGACCATGTCTCAGTTGGTCCCAGTTCTGGTTGGACACATTTGGACTGAACCATGACAGACAATCAGCTGCTCCTCAGAGTTCTGCAGCACAAACCGGTCCGGACCCAACAGAACCAGGGGGAACAGTGCACAGAAAAGCACAACTTCCTGCTTCCCATTGCAGTGTTTTCTAAGTAGGGCCTGCGGGGGGCGCTGTGGGGCCTCAGAGGGTTGGAGGGAAGATGAGAAATGCTAACATATCCCGTAAAATTTTTAATCTTAAATTTAATATTCAATTATGTTTTTTTAATAAAATAAAATGTAAGATAAATATAAGTTAAGATAATTCATGTAAAATGCATGATTTTTTTTATCAAATTCATTTTTCCTACAAGCGAGAAATGGAAAGCTTTCTGACAAACGGCACAAAAAATCATGAGAATAAAATAAAATTTGATGTGATTAATATAAAATATTGTAATAAAACATTGTATTATGTGGTAATAAAGTCATAATATATTATCTGACATAATATATCATGGCCAATTAAAACCGGATATTATGAGTTAGCATTTATGCTAAATAAATGTAATAATTATTGAATAAAAACATTATAAAAGTTTGTTTCTTCGCATGTTTAGTGTCTTTGAGTTTGCAAAAAAGGTCAGAGGTCAATGCTCTTTGGGAGGCTTTGGTATGGAAAAGTTTGCGAACTTCCTATTTCTTGATCAGGAATTAAACTCCTGAAACTATTTTTGAGGATTTGCTGTCATCGTAGTTTCATAACTTTTATTTTGTAGAGAAATCGGTTCTCTGCTCAGAACAGGAGATGGTATCCTGATACCTGCTGCTATTTTTCCCTAACTCGCCTCAAAGCGCCCAACGTTAACAGCATTTAGCTAACCTAAACATTTAGCTAATGTAAGCTAATACACTGCTAGTGGTAGCACTCATGCTAACATTATCTTTAAGGCTAAGGTTGGCATTGTGTGTAATTTAGATTTTAAAGCTAAACCGACTGAAGTTGATGTTACTCAATATTGTAGTGATAGCCCGCAAGCTAACAGTAGCATTAACTATAAATTAGCATTTTAGGTCATTTTGATGTAAAATTAAAATTACCTAAAATGTAACTAACAAACTGAATGGAGTACATCAGTTTTAGTCAGATGTTAGCAATAGCTTGCATGAAGTCATTTTAGCCAACTTCAGTATTTTAGCTAATTCTGGACATTTCTTAGATACAAACTGTCATGGAGATGTTTGAAGAGTTTTAGGTTTTGAGCTCAAACTCGAGGCCAGCAGAACCGAACTCACCTTTGGGTCAAAGTACAAACGCTTTTGAGGGTCCTTCCAGTTTTCTGAATATTTTCTCTTTTTGGAGAGAGTTTAGGGACATGTTTGGTTTTTATTCCCCCTCAAGAATGAAAACCTTTTCATCATTTCTCACTAATTTAATTTCTCCCTCTGTTGGAATAATCCAGTAATTATTTGCTCCAGTAAAAGTCAGAGTTTCCCATCATGCTCTCTGTTACTGCTCGCCTTTTTACCGTTTTCTGTTGGCAGATCAGAACCTGGAAGCTTCATCTGCTGACATTTAATTCCCAGATGGAGGGTGACAGCGCCCCCCGGTGGTCCTGAGCGGATCTCCTCGGGTTATTTTAGGGATCAGCTGTTGCTCTTCTCGTCAGCAGGACCCTCCTCTTCCTCCTCTGACCTTCCTCTGCCTGCGGAGCTTCACCTCCTCTCCTTCGCCACCCGGATCCTGGTAAGACTTTCTAACCTCTAAATGTTCGCTCAGTTTTGTTCCTGTTTTATTTTTCACATTTGGAGAGTTTTTATGAAATCAGCTTCATCATCACTTTGTTTATCTGAGTTTCCTCCTGCAGATCCGATCTGCTTCTGTTTCACCAAACTGGATTTTTTTTTGCTGTTTCTGGCCAATTTTAAGCCTACAGACATTTCTGTTGTGTATTGAAATGTCTAAATATGTTTAAAGATGTTTTAAAGTTTCATCTGAGAACATTATCATCAGGTAAACAAGTTATTTATGAAGTTACTCCGTCAACATGTTGAACTCCTGCAGGAGACGCTGTGATTGGTGGCTTAACAGAGGAGTGGGCGGGACCAAAACATCTGTGAGTCCAGGTTGGGGTCAAGGCTGAGGTCAGGGGTCGAGTCAGGGGGTGGGGGGCTTGGATCTGAACTACATGAAGCAAATAAAGAGAAAAAAGTCAAATTGTCAGCAGGAGATCTGGACGTTTCCCCAACACCGAACCTGCTGCCGGCAGGCCGCCATATTAGGAGGCCCTGAGAATAGAAGACAGGCAGCAGGTGTGTGTGTGTGTGTGTGTGTGTGTGTGTGTGTGTGTGTGTGTGTCACTGCTAATTTTAAACCTGACAGATGAAATAAGGAGAGCAGCCGTCAGAGCTGAGCTGAAAAACAGCAGCTGGACATGAAGCAGAAATTAGATTTGACACGAGCAGCAAAGCCTCGAAACAACAAGAGACGATAAAAACCATAAAACGATGAAAAGTTTTTAAAAAATAAGAATTTTTTTTAAAAACAATGAAAACAGTAAGAGACGATAAAATGTGTTCCTCAGTGACCGAGGATGGAGACGTCAGTGGAAGCAGCCGAGCTGTTGGTGCCGTCGCCCCTGGAAACCGGGAATTTGGACGGAGACTCCGCCTCCTCAGTGACCTTTGACCCCATGGAGGAGTTCAGCCAGCGGCTGCAGGACATCCTGAGGACGCACGGCTCGGCCGACGGCCTCCTGGACAAACCGGTGGGTCAGGCGACGCCGTGTCCGCCCGCTGCCGTTCACTCATAATGTTTGTGATGTTCGGTCCGACAGGTCGCCACGGACGAGACGGAAAAAACCCCAGAGGAGGTCAAAGGTGACATGGAGACAGGTGAGACAGCCTGAGCTTTTCCTAACATGACAGACAAAAAATTTACAGCAAAAAGTTAGAAATTAATCTCTGAAATCTTCTTGAAAAAACTTGGAAATTTCATAGTTTCAAAACGCAAAAGTTTTAAATTTACAGATGAATCTCAAAATTTACAGATGAATCTGATCTTAGATCAGTCTCATAATTTGGGTTTTTTTCTATGCAAATTTTTAGAAATTTAAAGATTAATGTAAAAAATGTTCTAGTAAAAATTTGGAAATTTCAGAGTTTAAAAAGGAAAATATTTTCAAGTTTTTTTTCCAGAACATTTCTCAGATTAATCTCCAAATTTGAGTTTTCTTCCAGCAGTTTTTTTTCACTTTGAAACTCTGAAATTTCCACAATTTTTCTAGAAAATGTCTGAGACTGATCTAAAAATGTTTGATTTTGTCGCATCTTTCTGCCTTTAATGGCGCTGAACGCGGTGGTCCTGCAGACGTGTCCCTCATCCGGCAGCGCCTGACCAACCTGCCGTCCACAGAGGACCGACTGGAGGAACTGGTGCAGCAGTTCGCTGAACTGGTGAGAACATTTCCGCTCTGCCGGTGAGACTCCGGCGTCAGCGGCTGATCAGCGGCTGTGTGTCAGCAGGCGGCGCTGTGGCGCGGCGAGCAGCAGCAGAAGAGCGCGCTGCAGCAGAAACTCTGCCACCTGCTGGAGGAACGGCGCTGCAGCATAGCGGCGCGCAGCCAGCTGGAGGCGCTGTGCAGAGACCTGCAGGCTCACTACGGCGCGCTGCGGGTAGGACCGGCTCACCGCCTCCAGAATCAACCAGCTGGTTTATCCAGATCCAGATTAAATGTGTCTGTAGGTTTGTGTTCCAGCAGCTGTGAGCAGACCTGCGCTAATAACAAAACTAATGATTAGCTTAGCGCTTTAGTGTTTTGCTGACTTTGAAAACAGTTAGCTTCTCCTAAATTAATTTTAAGAAATTAAGAAACAAACAGGAACATAATAAAGTGAAGAGATATAAACGTAAATGCAATATCTAAGGGCGTTATAGAAAATGTGATTTTAAAATTAAATTGGTTTTCAAGGCTGTAGTGTTGTATTATTTTATCATTGAATGGTTTTAGAATCATTTTGACTTGAGTTTAAGGTATTTATAGTTTTATTGATAATTGAAGATAAAACCTGGATTGTAGTTTTTTGTTGCAGATGTTTTTCAGTGTAAATATGATTAGAAAGTTCACAGCATATAAAAGTTCTTTACCTCATTTGCTATTAGCGCTTTAGCATTAGCTTCCACTAAATACCATGTGGGTATAGCATGTAGAGTTAGCTGAGCTACAGTTTGTGGCAGGTGTTTTGGTGTTAGCGTTAGCTCGCTGATAGTTAGCGGACAATGGAGCCAGGAGGCTCATGTGATGACAAAGAGAGGTGATGGTAGTACGCAGCCCTGAGGCGCTCCTTACTTACCAGGTGTTTCTCCTGCAGGAGGAAACGCTGCGGCGCTGCAGGGAGGACGAGGAGAAGCGGAGCGACATCACCAACCACTTCCAGGAGACGCTAGAGGAGATCCAGGCTCAGATCGAGCTGCACAGCGGCCGCAACGACAAGCTGCGGCAGGAAAACGCCAACCTGACCGACAAGCTGGAGAGCCTCATGAGCCAGTATGAGAGGCGGGAGGAGGTGAGAGGAGGCGAGAGGGAGGCAGGAGGAGGCGGGAGGAGGTGAGAGGGAGGCGGGAGGAG